GGGCAGGCCCCCCACTGATGTGATTTTTATGTTTTAACCAATCAAATTATCCCAAGATACAATAAAAATAACCTAGGTCTGAATAGCACCAGTGTTTTTTTCTTTATTCTTTTGCAGAAGTCCCACTTCTTGCCTTTTTCTCATCCTCATCCGCAGCTTTCTTGAATTCATGTTCAAAGGAGCTAGCTAGTTCATTGAAGAGCCCCACCTCCTCACAGTTCTTGAGGAATCTAGTCGGAGTAGGAGTTTGATCTGTAGACATGAAAATAAAATAAAATTCTGTTTTAGTTTTGACCTGAAGTTAAAACGTCAGAACACATAGAAAATGCATTTTTATTTGGTGATAGAGGGTCTGTGTTTGAACAAATCTATGTTTAAGGAGCTGTAGCAGGTGAAGGCCCAGGTGCTCGCCCACCATAAGATGCCTGTGCTGTGCTGCCTTGAGGCCAGCAGGGGGAAGACAGGTCAATGTTTTGTTGTGTGCCACACATTTCTCTCTGCAGTCTTGTTTCCTTCACCACCCCCAGCCCCCAAACAAAACAAAAGAAAACTACCCATGCTGGTGAGTCAAGTACATTTGAAGAAAAATACTATATAGTTAAGCAATGTTTTCTTTTAGAATTTACTCCCTGATAGGTCTGAAATGAGTAGGTATAAGCATGGATATTAAGATCTGATGAAGAGAAGAGACTAAGGCCTGGCGTGGTGGTGTACACCTGTAATCCCAGTACTTTGGAGGCAGAAGCAGGAAAATTGTTAGCTTGAGGCTAGCCTGGGCTACATAGTGCGTTCAAGGACAGGCTAAAGTATATAGAAAATCCATCTAAAATATGAGAGAGAGAGAGAGAGAGAGAGAGAGAGAGAAACTGAGAACCATATGGCTGATATACTAAAGATACCATAAGAAATGGTTGTCATTGGGCTGGGGGAGACAGCTCAGTGGTCTAAGTGCCTGCCTGGCAGACCCGGGCTTGATACCTGGTACTGCATACCATGCCCAGCCCCAGAACCCTGGGTGCATTCTGCTAGCCACAGAAACTGGGCGTGGTGGTGCATATGCTGGGGAAGCTGAGACAAAAGAATCACTATGAGTCTGAGCTGTGTAGTGAGAACCTGTGCTAAAGAAACAAATAAATAAAAGATTAAAAAATAAAATAAAAGAAATTAAAGCAATAGTGGTCACTGGGCCAGGGATCTAGCTGACTGACACAAATGCCTGCCTGGCAAGCACAACGTTCTGAGTTCAATTCCCAATACCAAAAAAAGAAAAGAAATGGTGATCATGAGATACAGGTCTGTTACCTTCTAAAGACATTCCAGACAACTGCGGAACATGACAGTGATTCCAGGAGCTAGAAAAGGAAACTGCAAACAATAGGACTAAATTCTCAGAGACCTGGGCCGAAGGCAAATTCCGGAAACTAGGATATTTGGATTTAGACTTACCGACCAAAATATTCCCACAGGGGTTGTGCAAATCTTTTTCCCAACACAGTGCCTCTGCTCTAGAGAAACAAAGACTCTTGGTAATTCACAGAGGCTTCTTATGTATTTGGTACAAGGTCTCACTATGCAGCTCAGACTCATAGTGATCCTCCTGTTTTCAGTCTCCCCAGCTCTGGAATTATAGGCATGTACCAATGCACCCAGACATGGTGGCCGGCTCAGGGCACCCAGGGGTAGGGCCATCATGGCATGTGGTGCTGGGTTCAAACCCTGGTCCCTGCACTTGTCTAAGCAGGCACTTAGTCTGCTGAGCTATCTTGTAGGCTTTCCACAGGGGCTTTTTAAGCAACGTGATTTTAAGATGTGAGCTTTTCTCTCACTATTGTGCATTTTATCAAGTTCAACCTTTTTCTCTGATCCTTTTTTTAAACAGGATCTCAAAACGTAGTTGAGGTTGGTCTTGAACTTACTATGCAGCCCTTGCCAGCCTTGAATCCACCTCGAAAAGGTGATCCTTTTGCCTCAGCCTCTCTAGTGCTGGGATTATAGGTGTGAATCATCATCCCTAGCATTCTAAGTGTGTTATGATGATGATCTCTTCCTTCCTTCCATCCGTCCGTCCGTCCGTCCGTCCGTCCTTCCTTCCTTCCTTCCTTCCCTCCCTCCCTCCCTCCCTCCCTCCCTCTCTTTCTTTCTTTTTGGCGGAACTGGGGATTGAACTCAGACCCTTGAGCTTGCCAGGCAAGCAATTATGCTACTGAGCCATCTCCCCAGCCCAATTATTCTTTCTCAGTTATTTCAGAGATTCATCTCCTATGTCAAAAAATGGGCTGAATGATAGAGTAACGCTTAAGTTATATAATATATAATTATATCATGTAATGGAGAATATATGTTGTAGTTGATCTTTTTAATATATTGTAAATATCTATATTTGAAGTGCTGGAGATCAAACCTTTGGATCACTCCCAGGACATAGCCCTTGGCAGGAATAGAACTCTATGTAAATACTCTACCACGGAACTATATGCCTGGCCCTAAATTATATTTTAAGAAGTCAGACCTGCAGTCAAAATCATTCCTTCTCACATGATAAAACAGTCCAGTGGGATTTTCCATGGAAACAACATAAATTTATTTATTTTTTTTTAACTTAAAACCTCTTTCTAAGTCAGAGTGTTGAGAAAAGTTACCACTACCTCCCAAAATAGTTTTAAAAGGTTCTTAGGCAGCTTTGGTTGGCTAATGATAAAGCCACTTTCCTTTCATTCTGGAGTGAGTAGAAGTGTATCATCTTTTATGTTTGCAGTGCTTTAGAAAGTGCACACAAAAGAAAAGGCACACACAAAATCACAAAAGTGGAACAGGAGGGGAAGCTAAGGGCAGGGAGATGGCAGAAGGATCTCTCTCTTTTGCTTTCTTTCTTTCTTACCTGCTGGGGGCATACTAGGCAAATGTTCTACCACTGAGCTATATCTGCAGCCCAGCAGAAGGACTTCTGGACCTGTGATCTAAGGCTCATACAAAGTTCTCCCACATTCTGCGTCTCATGCTTATTTCTGATATTTGTTTTAAAGGCTACTCTGTTAAATCTAGTTCTTTACATTCCAAATGGCCTCTAACCTCAACTGCCTCAGGTTCCTTGACAAACAACTTGAAGAATATGTAAGAAAAACCCAAGCCTGCTCTGATGATTCCTAAAAAATCAGTGTTTACTAAATACTCTATATATGTTTTGGTGCTATATGGATACACTTGGCTATATATCTTGGGGAGAGACAGGAGAATAGCCCAAATATAAGACTTGGGCCTTGTCCTAAGAAATTAAGAGAATGCTTTTTAGTTGAGGAAATAAAACTAATATGCAGCAAACTAATGTAGCATCACGGTACATAAAATAAGTGCTATGTGCAATGGGGAATAAAACTGTTATAGAAATTAAGTAAAGGCACATTAATGACAGTTTTTAAAGAAAGATTTCAAGAAATGGGAGTTGAACCAGGGCTTAGAGAATGGCTTTAGATGGTAGAGAAAAGATTTGGAGGCTAAGAGAAGTAATGTAGGTTTAACATACAGAGAAAGGCAGGATCTGGTCATATGTATGGATGAGGAGGGAAAATAATGTTATGTCAAAAGATAAGCTCTTGACTGGGCATGGTGGCACACACCTGCAATAACAGCACTTGGAAGACTGAGGCAGGAGGCTTAGTGGGAGTTTGAGGCCAGCCTGG